TAACACAAACGTCTGCATGTTATCACTAAACATTCGACTGTTAGACAACAATTACAGCAAATTGCAAAAAGTAACAAGTGTACAACTGTGCTTATCACCTTTGGATAACTCATTTTACTATTTATTGAAGGTACTGTGAGTGACGTGGTGTGAGCGCAACGGGAACATCTCAAATACGCAAAACTGGCAGGGGTGGGTAGTCTATTAGACGAATGTTCGGTTATCTAGTGTTAAATCATTTCCTGATATTTTTGATTTTAGCAACTATCCAAAAACCAATAAGTTATATGGCAAAGCAAACAAACATAAACTATAATATTTTAAAGATTAAAGTTTAAATAAATAAAGTTTTAAGATGAAACTATTAATTTTGATAATCAAAACCAATAGTTTCATCAATAATTGAATTTGGTTCATTAAAACCAAACAAATTATATTCTTATATTTTTGATGATAAAAATAAAAGCATGNAGTAGCTACCTCATTGAGCCCCGGGGCACAGAAGAAGCGAAACCTCAGCCGGCCAACGAACTTATTTTGTTATTCCTGTTGTGTAAGTTAACTTCATGTCAAAATAAACGGTTTTCGTGTAAGACACTTGTCATCTTTGTCTCCTACCGCCACCACCCACATACGGTTTGACCCTAGGTTTTCCTGACGCGCAATTAACGTATTGCCCCCAAAATCGGCGAACTTACAATATTCTTATATTTTTGATGATAAAAATAAAAGCATGGATAAAGGAATTAGAAAATCTATTGGAAAAACTTTCAGTCATGATAAATATAAAGAAGTTTTATTCAATAGAGGACTGTTAGGGCATCAACAATATGGAATTAAAAGTAAAAGTCATGTAGTAGCAACACATCTTCAGAACAAAATATCCCTTTCTCCATTTTATGGTAAAACAATTTATTTTAGATAATGCCATAGACGTGATATCATTTGGTCATTATACTTTTTACTTTTAATTCTTATAGATTATTTGATATCACCAACACAATATGGATATTTAATGTTAGGCAAAAGAAAAAATTTCAAAAACTTACTTAATACAGTGTTTGCAGTAAAGCATATCCATGCATATAAACAAGCTTTCAATAAAACAGCATCATTAAAATTACTACAAAATAAAATATATGAATGTAAATTTTTTTTAATAAATAAAATATTTTTTATTTTAGAAATTGCATACTTTAGTTTTTGCATTTTCAGCCGATTTTTAGTCTTCAAATCAGTAGCAGGATATGATCTTTTTACTAATGATAAATATGTAATTAAATCAATGAACAAAAATTAATATTCACAGATTTATCAATTGAAATTCCAAATAATAAAGAAGACTTTGAAGCTATTTTACCATAATCGTTAAAAAATAACATTTTAATAAATGCTAGAGTAATTGACAGTAATTACAGAGGAAACATTGTACATTAATACTCCAATTTTAGTAAAAAAAATGTTACAAAAGCTAGAGGTGCAATTGAACAATATTTGAAAATAACCTCACATACATTCATTTATTGCAACTCTATAATTATGTATACTTATTACAAAAATAATAAAATACAGTGGATGATCGGTTAATGAACATAATTCGTTCCAAGACTTTGTTCGCTATCCGAATTGTTCGTTAACCGATTATCGATTTACCATAGGTTTTAATGGGAATTTAATTAATTCGTTCTGAGACCGCCAAAAATAAAAAAATATATACTTTCTTACTACGTTTATTTATACGTAATAATAAAAATACATAACATGCACAGTCTTGCGTTTTTATTAGTCATGTTTTTCCCGTTTGAAAGGGTTAAATAATGTCTAATGTCGATTGCTTTTCTCTCTTCTTCAGGATTTTTCGTAAGTAATTAATAGGATTGCAATTGTAGAAATCCCCAAGCCTCAATCTGGTTTGGATGCCATTCTAAGACCGTTGTTCTGACATCTTCCCACTTCAAAAGATCTTTAATGGCAAATATCGGCATTAATCCTCTTTTTCAGAAGAAAACATATCTTGCCGAGTATCTTGGTGTTCTTCATTCAAGAGTTTTTGACGTTCTTTTGTCGTCAGATCCATTTCAGGTTCCATTATGAACTTTTCGATGTTTTTTATTTCTCAGACGTGATTTTTGTTACTCCTTTAGCTGTTTGAGTCTTCTTGATTATACAGTATTTTTCTTAAATAAGATTGAACTATGGCCTACTGTAGACCTGTTGATGCCATACTGCCCAGCAACATTAGGCATCTTCTGCCCACTCTCTAACTTTGCTATTATACTCTCACCTTTTGAAAAGAAAAGAAAAAAAACAGACGCAAAACTTAATTTGTGCCTACCCGACAGTCTCGCAAATACATAAAAGAATTGTTTTGTCAGAAAAATAAAAGGCTGGAATTACAAGGGAGAGTTTCAAAGTTCGGAGGAATACTATCCGATCGGTATATACCGGCTTGAGCGTCGATGTCGACGTCTCCCACACTCCAAAAAGTTTCGAATTGTTGCCTGAAGACAAGAGAAGACCAATCGGTATTCATTATTTTACGTCGCTTCTTCTTGTGTTCGTTATCCGATCATGTGTTTGTTGTCCGAACATAAAAATCTTTCGCGAAAGTGTTCGTTATCCGATCTGTTCGTTAACCGATCACCCACTGTATATGAAATTTTTTATTCTATAAAAAAAATGAAAAAATTTCAGACAGACATATGCCAATCAATTGGAAAAAATTTTCATTCTTACAAGCAGATGAAAATGCCATCTGACTTGTTAAAGATTATATTCACTTGGATATTATAAGTCAAAGAACTAACTCAAGCAAAAACTTCATTTCTGAATTTTCAATCTTGTTCATTGAAAACTCTATTAAATATGTAAAATGGGATTTAATTTACCAATATCGAAAAATTAGATGAAACATTCGTGAGAAAATATGTATCATACCATGTTCAGGAACATTAGCTCAATATCAATTAATCAAACTTTATGTGAATTACAAGACTTTCTGGACTGGAACTTAATTTTGAGATACCAAAAACTAGATGAAAGGTTCATTATGATTTTCTGAATCAACTTTCTTGGTGTCATATTTTAAAATGTCAGAAATTAGACTAGATATATTCTTGATGATTCACAAAATTTATTGCTTCATGTTCTTGCAGATATTTGTAAAATTCTTGAGAAGTTTGGCAAATTAAACTTCACAAAGAAACTAATGCACTCAAAATTGTTAATACACGAATTATGTAAAATTACTGATGTATTTTTATAAATAAAATATACTCCAAAGTGTATTGAACCTATACTACTAAATACATACTGTATAGAATCAAAATCCAAATAATTAGTCAAACTTAAGCATAGTGTTAGCTTATTCTTTGGGCCATATTATCTGGATTACTAATCTGGAATGGGGATTTAAACTCCTTTGCTGAATTTTGAATTTAATGAAATAAATTTCTAATTAACTTAGCCAGTTAATTGTTATATTAGGATAATTTGCACATTCAATATTTAAGTAATTGAAAGTTAGCTTTAATGTAGTCTGAAAAATTAACCAACAATTTAGGCTTAAGTTTATAATTTTTTGTTCATTGTATTGAATCAAGGTGGCTAAAAGCAGAGTCAAAAAGATGGAATGGAATAAGAATTTATTTGGCAAGATACTAGCTCTCCCCAGATGTGACCCTCCACAAGATATTAAATTTTTTTTCAAAATAATTACCTTAAATTTATATCCTGAGTCTTTAATACACTTTTACTGATAATTTTTTAAATTTAGGAACATTTTGAAAAGTCAGCTTCTTTCAGATATTGAAAATATTCTTTGATCAGTGTAGTATGAATTCTGTTGGTTCAAACCATTTTTTAAAAGTTGGAAGAAATGCGTAATGACTTTGTCTTTATCCAGATTGGGGATAGGGTGGTTGCAGAAGGATATCAGTATCACTTTTTGTCAGATAATGAGTGTAATGGCTGCATTGTAATGGCCTGGCATCATTACAATGAAGTATCTGTCTACAGTAGAGTCTCGAAAACTCGGCCTAAGTGGACCGAAGGGTGGCCGAGTTTGTGAAAATGCCAGGTTATCGGGAATGGGGTTAAAAAAATAAGTACGAGTGTTTCCTCAGAAAATACTGTACTGTACTTGTATGTATTGCTTACTTGAGAATGCAACAGAGAATAAACTGCCCAAATACCCTTAAACAAAGGAAAAGTACGTCCTTTATGAAGGCATAGAGCCTTTACTACATGAAAATGAAAATTAATGAATACACTATATGTACAGTAATTTACCTGATAAGACAAACCTCAGAAAAATACTTTATGAGGCATAAAGCTGTCTATAATGAAAATTAATTAACTAAGGATTTTTTGCCCTGCCAGGGTGTGGCCGAGTTATCCAGACTGCCGGGTTATCGAGTGCCGAGTTTTCGAGACTCTACTGTATTACTATTTTTTGGGTTGTTTTATGCCATTCATAATGTCTTGATTTTGATATAACAATCTTTCAAGAGGGAGTTCTATCACAATATATGTTAAACTGGGAAAAATCTAACAGAAGCATATCTTATTTTGTTTTTCAAAATTTCTCTTTGAAGATTTAGAACAAGTTTTACTGTTTGACTTTTTTTGTGAAAATAATAATATTCATACATGTAATATTTCCAGTAGAACATGAATATATCATAGTTATGATAGTTCAATTATTACTACAGTCTGTTGCAAAATTATAAACACACTCACATTTTTATAAATTTTTAGATTGTATTTACAAAATATCAAATTTTTTAACTTTAATCTAAAAATTTTTTAAATGTGAGTGTGTTTATAATTTTGCAACAAACTGTAGCATGTGAACATATAAAATTGATTATCTGTAATTAAAAAAAAATTATACTTTACATGTTAAAATGAAACCCAGTATAATAAATAATTGCTTTCATAAAAATATCAAATAATCATAAATTTGAAAATATTAAAAAAATTATTTTTATTATAAATATTATTTTATAAGACAGAGCAAAGTTGCAGTAAAATTAAATATTTTCAACTCAACATAAAATAATTAGTAACAGAAACAATTTATATTCCTGTATTGCACTTTCAACTTTCCAATACAGAATTTATTTTACATAATAAGAAGATTAAGTTAAAGTTAATTTGCCTTATTTGACAAATGATGCAAATAAATTTTTCTGTTTTTTCCATACAGTCATTTTGAAAATTAAATTACAAACTGTGAAATAACATTGGTAGAAAACATTAAATTAATTCATTTAGAATTTTAATTAATTCAAATGCTCTATCTTTAATCTGATGATTTCCATCCTCTGATGATGACTTCATAATATCTTTTAACTTAATTCTTGAATCAGTTGTCAAAAGATATCCACAGTTGTTATCTGCAAAAAGATATCAAAATTTATTTTTATTTTATAAACACACAGAAAAAAAAAATCAAACTTTCAAGATGACCAACATAAAATGCTTTGAAAAGTATAAGTCAAGCATTTGCATTGAAATAAATAATGGAAAATTATATCAAATATAAGCCTATCAGATCCACAAAGTCTAACATTTGATAGAATAAAAGGTTAAACTTAAGTCAAAGATGAGTAATTATTTATTGTGACATTGTGACAATGCTGGGGTTGCAATTTTTAATTATTTTTTTAAAAAAGTCACAACTTCCTGTCCAGACCAAAGTTTATATATAGTTAATCAGGCCTCTGGCCCCTAAGCCTTTCCATATCTATTTATCTCAATTTTTATCTTGCTAACCCTTGAGATTAACAAAGGATAGACAACAGTGGGAAAAGTGTAAGTCTGCAATTTGAAAATTCAAAAATATCTATATAAAACATAGATTATTAGTAATAAAACCGAGTATGATATTTATGAATTTTAATTTTCCAATTTCTTCATTTATACTTTAAAAATACCTTTTAACTTCAGTAGTTGCATACGTACTTTGTCATTCTGCATTTCTTAGATNTTCTTAAAGATGAATATTTACACATTTCTGTAAGAAAAAATTTTAAGTTAATAAATTAATTATATGAATAACATATAAAGTAAAATAATATAATCAGATAAAACAATTTTCAGATTATAAACATGTCAAAATGTAAAACAAATAAATGATTATGATGATGATATGTTCTACTAATTTTTTAATGTTAAAATTAAAATGATATCATTTAATTATTTTTGTATAACTGAATATTTTTAATTTTTCTAAACAGAAACACAATAAGGAATGATTAACAGTTATGTTAACAAATACTCAACCAAACAATTGCCTTAATTAATCAGGCTATAAATTTGCTATTATTAATAATTAGATATTAAATAATTTGGTATTAGAGGTAGATGTTAAGTGTCATCTCTTATCTAAATTAATAATTATGATTTTTAATAATTTATTGAATAATTTAAAATTGTCTGGAAGAAAAGAACTAGCCCAGAGTGGGACTTGAACCTGCAGTAAAAAGAGGTTGTGAATTCAAGTCCTTCTTTGAGCTAGTTTTCTTCCAGATAGTTCTAAATTATTTATGGCAGTCGTTTAGTTGAGTATTAATGTATTGGACTTCGGAAAGTTTATTATATATGTTAACAAAATTCTTTCATTGTCTGATTTATAAATATTGTAATAAAATAATTTTTGCTGTTAGCTTTAATTTGGGAATTATTATGCAAAATTAATTTTTTAATTTTGCATAATAATGTTTTAAATGTCAATTATTATTTGATTTTATTCTATTGTAAAAATATATTTTTTTTTTTATATTAATGAACTCGCTTTTAATAAGAAAAACTGTGACTAGTTATACAGTCTCAACATGCACTAGCACATTAATATATATATTGAACAGCAAATATATTGAAATATAACAATTTTTTAATATGATGACAACTTATCTATAATAGGATTTTACATGAAATAAACTAGAAGCAGTATTTTCTTTAGATTTATTTATGGATATTTTTCTAGAACAGGTCCTTAACTTTCACCAGTTCTTAAAAGAGCTTGTAATATATAAAAAATTAAGAAGTGGTTTAACTTATATTAATTTTAAGAATGAATATTAAAGTTTGAATACATTTGGATTGTTATATCAGAATGTAAATTTACCATTTATATAAACAGGAATCATTTTAAAAGTAGAAATAGTTATTTTGTTAATTAAAATTTGATTTCTGTAAAATATGTAGTAAGAACTATTAATGAATATACTTTAATTTTAAATTTTGAGAATTTAATATGATGATCTCAAAAAAGCATTTAGGCTTCAGAACAATATGTCCACATAAAAAAGGATATTTCAAAAAAGGAAACAAAAGAAACTATGGTGCCAAGAAATAAGGATTACAATAATAGAAATGTTGAAAACAATGATAGTGTGGCTTTATTACTCAGCTTTGAATAAGTGAGTTTTATACATTTGAGTGCCATAAGAAATCAAATATATAATGAGGAATCTCACATTTGGCTCTCCTTTGATGTTAAACATATGGACTTACAATATTATTATTATTATGAAAGAACATCCCACAAGGACATTATTATGCCAATAAGTTCATATGTCAAATGTGGGTTTCATCATCATTGGTTTCAATGCCTCCATCATGAATGTGTAAAGCCAGTTATAAATTTCAACCAATACTGATATTTGCAAAAGGAAAAAAAGTGAGGTTCTCTATGAATGATCAAAACTACTTTACTCTTTACCCTTATTTCTACCAAACAATAAGATATAAACTGTCCTCTTCTGTGTGGTTAAGATTTATTATAATTTACTTTATTATTCAATGTAATTTTTAATTTTATTTAAATGTATAAATTGCAACTTAAGAAATTTAAATAAAGTCACATAATATCCAACAGTTCTACTTTAGAACTCAACATTGCTTTTTCATCCTTGGAATGGCTTCTAAGCTGCAGCAGGCCTGTAAATTTGGCCAACAACATTTGTTCTGTGTGCAAAGTTAATGCCGGAAAAGTATGAAAGGTGTGTTTTTGTGATTTTATCCAAGAAATTCTAGCTTTTAAAAAGATAATCTCAACTGATTTACAAGTGCACTCATTTTGTAATATAATTTAATAATAAATAAATTTTATATACATATATGTAGTAAATATCTAACTCAATAGTTATTTCAAATACCAAATAAACAGCTGGATTCTTTATTAGGCTATACCAGTCAACTCCCCTATAACACTGTTGATTATTCCGTTTTATATGAATTCCATGTTGTATGAGTAACTCAGATTTTACAAATACGTGAGCCGTTCACAGCCTGGCACATGTATTTGTAAAATCTAAGTGACTCGTACAACATGGAATTCGTATAAAACGGAATAATCAACAGTGTTGTAGGGGGTCGACTGTATAAGGCTAAATAATTACTAAGCAATTTTGACAGGCAGCAGACTGCTATCTCTTGTTTGATTAATTTATTAATATATAATTATTATAATTAATTTAATTTTAGAATATTTCAGAAGGAAAGATTGGCCCAGAGTAAGACGAACCCAAAATGCCTGCTTACCATGCAAATGCTTTGCCAGTTATGTTATCCAAACCTTTAGTTTTGAATTAGTCTGAAGTGAAGATTGGGTAAAGGTCCAGGTAGTGTAACTGATAATTCATCTGTGTGGCAAGTTAAAGCATAGTACGGTCTTGGGGGCTATCAAAAAACTTGATGGAACCCTAACCTCCACACAGGAGGAGTCGATTAAGGTTCTGCTCTGCTTGCATTTTCCATGCGATGAGCAGTCCGAGGACACCGAAGAACAGAGGCAGCTTTGAAGTGATGCAGAGTTGCCCGTTCTTGAGGCTGAGATGCCCATGCTGGTGACAGACTCTGAGGTAGCCCACACCATCGGCAACCTAAGGAAGAAGAAAGAACCTGGAGTTGATGGGATCACGGCCGAAATGTTCTGCAATAGGAACATCCTGACCTACTCGATGTCTTGCATCAGAAATGCCTGCTCCTGGGTCATTTCCCAGTGCAGTGGAAGTGGGCGCGTCTTGTGTTTATACATAATAGTAGGCACCTGAAGAACGAGGCTAAGTACTACAGGCCAATCAACCTACTGCTAGTGCTGGGGAAGGTTCTAGACAGAATCCTTAGCAACAGAATTTTATTTCACTTCAAGCGGAAAGGGATGATACACCCATACCAATATGGATTTCTGCCAGACAAGTCAACCTGCATGGCACTACATCAGGCGGTGGATCTGGTTTGTCAGAATCACCGACAGGGCCTCCACACATCGCTCGTTTCGATAGACATTGTGGGGGCTTTCGACAATGTCTGGTGGCCGTCTATAATGGGTAAAATGCGGAAGGCAAACCTGCCGACTACCCTTGTATCACTTTCCAGGAGTTTCCTGAGTGATGGCGCGGTGGTTTACGAAACACAAGGCAGAAGGTATGAGAGGACACTGGAAAGGGGCTGCCCACAAGGGTCCTGTATAGGGCCTCTATTGTGGAATGTTCTTGTGGACATGGTGTTGCGACCAGTCCTCCCGGACGAAGTCCAACTGCAGGCTTATGCTGACAACCTGTTGCTAGTAGTTGCAGGCTATAGTAGACGTGACAATGAAGCAACAGAACAGCTCGTTTGCTGGGGAGAGCTGCATAAGCTTTCCTTCAGCCCTGAGAAATCAGAGGCCCTAACGGTGGCCTGGACTGGAGTGTTGGCATGCTGACCAATATACCGGATCTGGGGCAACCCCCATCCAAAGGGCGAATGAGTTAAAGTACCTCGGTGTAATCATCGACCAGACATTATGCTGGACGCCCCATCTAAGGACTGTTGTGTCAGAACAAACCAGATGATAGAAGCACTATGGCCTTAGCGGAGAAGTGATTCGATCCATCTATAAGATGAGTGTAGAATGCGTTATCTGCTATGCCTGTGGTGTTTGGTGGAAGGATTCTGCCAATGTCAGTCAGAGCAAGACGTTGCTCATGATCCAGCGGCCTGCCGCTCTGCGGATCACGAGAGCATACAGAACTGTGTCCACGGACACAACCCTGGGCTCTGGTAATCAGCCAAAAGGCCTTCTACAGAACAACAGTGGAAGGTATAAAGGCTACGCATTGTAATCGGAAGTACCCTATCAGACTTAGGCGTCAGACAGACGTACTAAAGATCCATCCCACCCATAGGATAGGACTTGATTAGGATGTTGGTGAACTGATTGGTACCAGTGTTGAAATATACACTGATGGCTCAAAGGACGGCAGCTTGGTAGGGGCTGCATACTGCGTCTTCTCTGACAGAGTAGAAGTGTACTATCAATCAGTCAGATTGAATGAGGAAGCATCCCTGTTCCAGGCAGAACTGGTGGCCCTAGAGGGGGCATCCCATTGGATCTGATTACATCTGGGTCCAGAGCCAGTCACGGTATACTCAGACAGCCAGTCGTCGCTACAGGCCTTGAGCAATGGATACCATCGCGATCTGCTGGTACAGGAGATCAGAGGTAGGGTACTGAGGGTGAGGCATGAGCGACACGTTGTCTTACGGTGGATCCGAGACTACACCAGGATCTCAGGCAATGAACGTGCCGATCAGCTGGCAAAGGACGGAGCCAGTGGCCCATTTGTTACGAGGATGGTAGAACCCTCAACTACATACATAAAAGGTACTCTACTGCAATGATCGATGACACACTGGCATGAGTGCTGGACTCAAAGTACAATAGATAGGCCGACCCATGCCTTCGTGCCTGTAGTTGGCCTCACTCTGATAAGTTGTTGTTGGTTGACGATACAAATACTAACTGGACACGGGAGGTTTCTCCATTTCAAGTCCAAGTTTGGACAAGGAGATGGTAGCGCTCCTGTGGGTATCCTCATGGTAATGTGAAACATTACGTACTTGACTGTCCTCTAACTGAGGACTTTTGCCTAAAGGCCAACCAAGTTGACTGGAGTAAGCCCCCTGAACAAGTACTTTGAACTACTTTGAACGCTAGCAGCTGGTAAAGGAAACTTAAAGAGACTAAAGGAATTGATGGAAAAAGTAATAGATCTCTCAGATCTATAAGTTTAAGGGAATGTACTGAGCTGGGCTCTCATAGGGAGACCCCACCACCTGTTCTTAAGAGCACCTCTCTCTAGGTAGCGTACTCTAAGTGCACTTAGATGCACCAAAACGCATGTTCTGGTAAGTGAGGTTTGACTCGAGTAGCGATGAAGGCAAGGAAGGCAGGGAAGGTTGCCACCAGAACCTGAGCTTGAGCCAGAGCCAGAGCCAGAGCCCAAGCATTTCTCGGGCCAACTTTCTATGTTTTGGTGCTTGGTGCCCACTGGGCGATGGCCTGACCTATGATTAAAACATTGTCTCTAAGTACTCTGTAATGCCGTATGGCGGGGCAGAGGATATTACTCGGAGTTGATCATATGTGTAGTAGGCAGGAATTGCATACTCAAGTCCCACTCTAGGTCAATCTTTCCTTCCAGGATATTCTAAAATTAAATTAATTATAATAATTATACATTAATAAATCAATTAAACAAGAGATGGCAGTCTCAGTGGTGTGCCATGACATTTGATGATAGGGAAGCTGTATTTCTGTAAGAAGCCGACTTCTAGGGGCAATCAGTCAGCGATGGTCTAGGATCCATTCATATTTGTTTGTTTGATAAGCCAGTAAAAACCGTAGACTTCTCTAAATATATTTTTAATTAATAGATTATCTAACACACTTAATAAATAAGCAAGTTCAATATAATTACCTTTGTTATATTAGATTCAATAGATTCCCTATGCCCTCTAAATGCCAATTCTTGCTTTGATAACATCTACTATTTTAGATATAGGCTTAATATATCTATTAGCCGTAACTTTGTTATAATTTTCAATATTTATTTTATATTGTTTACTAATGTTAAATTCTATTCTATTTTGATTTCCAAATTGCTTCAATTTTACGAAAGAATCTATGTGAAATTTACGATTTTCGTGTATTTTGCGAGCTTTACTCAGATTATTTAAATCGCCAAAGCCATTCTTATTCCACACACTAATTTCATTTGAAAATAGTAGGCAAGGCCAACAAAACAATTTTTGCATTTTTATGCATCCACAAAGCCATTTTATATCTTCATAAATTTTATCGTGAAAATGTCGAACAAATTTTTTTGTTGACGTATTTATATTTAATTTAGGCATTGGTCTTTCTCTTTTAATAATGTTTTCTTTTTCATTATATGGTCTCGAGCCAAAACTTTTTGAAATAAATTTTCAATATCACAATTACATTCTAAATTGCTAGCCATAATATAAGGGCTAAAATTAAAAATAAAATTATAAAAACTTACTTGTTAAAATAAAATGTGTGATGGATATACAATTATACATATCTGGTACAAAATATTCAATTGTATGAATATAGTTTTGTGAAGAAACATACATAAAAATAACAAAATGTTCTTTACTTTTTAAATATTAAAACAATCCACTTAATTAAAATTGCTCCCTACCAGTGGCTCATGGATGGAATCAGAGATGATCTTGGTAGGTGTGCAGTGCGTGCATGCATGCCAAATCCCGAGGGTGCCGATACCGGTCAATGTCAAATGCCGCTTTTGTCGCATCACTAGTATATCTCAAAGGACACGTCAGGGTTGTTGTAAATTTTAAACGTTTCTCACCATAGCTGTAAAAATCTAAATATGTTAAACTTAATAAATTGTCTGTCATTTGTTTTCTAATTCGTTTTAGGACCAGGGTCCATGGAAATTTCTAAAATTTACAACTTTTCGGTCATCTTGTTGAACTGGAAAAATTTCTGTCTTTATTACATCTAATATTATGAAGAAATCAGTCCCCACTGTACTTGTCTATAGATTGGTTCAGCTAAGCTTTTGTTTAAGTAAAATTTCGGCTTTTTCATCAGGGTTTTGTTTATGTCCCCAACTCCCTAATCGCTTAATTATTTAATTACTTCTTAAGTAGAAGTAAGTCGAAACCAGTTACTTTGTACTCGAATATTTGTAGTCTTGGAAAAAAAGTGGAAAGACAAATTTTTATGACAATAGATACATAAATCTTAAATTTAAGGAAAGTAAATTCTAGAGCTTTTTCTGTACCTCGTGCATCTCTCTCATTCATTAAATTTAGTTGTAAATGACACTGTCAAAGTAACAGTTAATTTTTTAACATTGTACAAGAATTGTACACGTTTTTTTTCTACATCCCCTTAGAAATGGGACATGCAAAATCGTAATATCACTGGTTTAACATTGAAATCCGTGAGTAATATAAAATCGGAGAGCGGAATAAATATATCAAATATTTTAATGGATTTTTTTAAACTCCTGTCAACTATACAGAACTATTATAAAAACATACCAGTAAATTTTTATCGGTTGGGTTAAGTTATAAATCTACTCCCAATTCACGTAATTGAGCGAGGGTGGCCAATTATCTAGCAGGCAGGCAGTTAACAGCCCAGAACCGGTCCTTGATAGAATCATTGGAAGCATTATACGTGTGTAACTTCCACCAGCTAAACCGAGTGAGGTTGGTGCTCTGTAAAGCGCATGTGCAAATGAGTATAATCTGGCTGTTTGGAAGCTGACAATACAGCGCTTCCATTCCGCCACTAATATTCGAATATACAATAGCAATCTTATTGTTTTTTTCACATGTAGTATAGAAATTTGTAATAAGATACATAATGTGGTTATAATAAAATATTAATTTTAATTATATGAAAATAATCACACAATAATATATATACATAAAATAATATATATTTACTTTTTATAAAATACAAGGGAAGTGGCACTTCCAGTGACAGCACGCTACTGAGCAGCCTGCCGCCTGTGAAAACTGCTTAGTAATTATTTAGCCTTATAGCCCATGAATATGCTAATAATAAAACTTTGCAGGATATTTTCAGTAACAAGAAGTAGACTGAACTTCAGAGAAGCAGAATGATAGTAGTATTGAAAATATACTTAAAAAAATAATTAAAATTTATAACAATCATGTTATTGTGCCATTAATAAAACAAATAATAATTTTTTGCTGTGATCATTAGTCTTTGCATTAAAGAAAAATATTTGGAGATTGAATCATTAAATTTTAATAAACAAAATAATTGTAAAGTTTTATTATTATTAATTTTTCCTTTTCATTTTTTGGATGAGAAGACATATTTTTATTTAAGTAATTTTAATAATCTTTATTTTTTATGGAGTAAAAACTTCACAAACATGCTTCTGCACAAAAATATGGATAATGTGCATTTGAGGTGTTTCATGTTTGTATTCTCATATCTCATCTGTAAATCACAGATCTTGTATGAGAAAGATCCAAGATTTTCTCAAAGTAAAGATTAATACTTAAAGATTGAGGTGAAGCAGAATTTCAGGCACAAAATGATAGTCCCATCAAAAATATTTAAAAAGCAGACTTAGTCACAGAAATAGCTAAAGTAGTTACTCATTCTGGGATCTGAGCATTTTCATTCTTTTTTAAATTTTTTTATAAATGAATAAATAAATATGTATTTTAATAAAAATTAATAATTTTAGATCAATTTTTTAAAATTTATTATTACCTAAAGTTTTATATCCTATATTAAGAATCCCATCAACAATTGAAATTAATTCTTGCTCTTCATCTGAATTTGAAATTCTTCCTTTAGGAAATTGCAATCTAAAATTTATAAAATGTAGGAAAATTATTATATTTAAAAAGCAATGAAACTTTTTAATAAAATCTGTACCTGGAAATAAAGGTTTTAGTAGCTTTGAGAATTGAAAGTTGAACTTTCCATGTACTAGTTTCAAACTCAGATAAAAACAACATACAAAGAGGTTTCCTATAAGTTTCTGAAAGAAATTTACCCAATTAGAAATTTATTATTTAAAATTTATCAATATAATATGATTTTATAATATAACTTTATGATACAATATTAAAATTTATATCATAGTAGAACCTTGTGTTTTTTTCTGTAAAGGCCAAGCTTGCCCAAGAACTTGAAATGTAACTTGTTGGAAATCCAATAAAACATCTTTATTGGTTTGTTCTTCAGAATCTTTTGGTACATTGCTTTTCCTTTGATCCTAGAATCAAACTTCTATTATGTTTTTAAATTTAATAAATTACTAAACTGAAGAAAATTTAATAATATACAGTAAAGCATCGATTATCCAAATCAATTGGGGACTGGGGTTGTTTGGAAAATTGATTTTTCGTATAACTGATTTTGTACGAAAAAATATATTAACCCATCCCATGTTGAAATTCATTCAAATCCTGGCACATCCTTAAGTACCTACTCATGGTCGTGCCAGTACTGCCAGCTAAAACATGCACACCAACAAAAATAATATTAAAATAGCCCAAGACATAGCCAAAGATTGCAGCGCCACAGCACTAGTGAAAATTTAAATTTGCCAACTTCCAGTTGGAAAATTTAAATTTAAAGCTTTTGATTAATTGACATTTCAATTGATCGATATTCAGATAATCGATGCTCTACTGTACTAAAGTATTAAAGTTTTTCTCTTATAAAATAACATTATTAAAAACTGATAAATTATTCATTTAAAGTTAATTTATTGGGCTGCAATTTTCAAATTGCAAACCTGTACATTCTCACTGCCATCTGTCTGCCCTTCATTAATCTCAAGAACTGAGTTAGATAGAAGAAAATGATATGGAAAACTTGGGGTCAGAAGGCCCTATTAACTATGTATGAACTTCCAATCTGGACCATAAGTCACATGATTTTTTAAATTAAATGATGATAAAAAATTGCAGCCTGGCATTGTGACAATGTCACAATAAATGATTGCTCATAAGTATTAAAATTAATTTGGATAAATTTTTCAAATTTTCAAATTATCACCTTTCAAATTAATAAGAAGTAAATCAAAACTATTTGAATTATTTTAAAAATAATTTCAAGTCTTCATCAACATTTTTATAATAATAATAATTACTATGACATGTAACTGGAAAATTATATAAAATAAAATCNGCGCTTCCATTCCGCCACTAATATTCGAATATACAATAGCAATCTTATTGTTTTTTTCACATGTAGTATAGAAATTTGTAATAAGATACATAATGTGGTTATAATAAAATATTAATTTTAATTATATGAAAATAATCACACAATAATATATATACATAAAATAATATATATTTACTTTTTATAAAATACAAGGGAAGTGGCACTTCCAGTGACAGCACGCTACTGAGCAGCCTGCCGCCTGTGAAAACTGCTTAGTAATTATTTAGCCTTATAGCCCATGAATATGCTAATAATAAAACTTTGCAGGATATTTTCAGTAACAAGAAGTAGACTGAACTTCAGAGAAGCAGAATGATAGTAGTATTGAAAATATACTTAAAAAAATAATTAAAATTTATAACAATCATGTTATTGTGCCATTAATAAAACAAATAATAATTTTTTGCTGTGATCATTAGTCTTTGCATTAAAGAAAAATATTTGGAGATTGAATCATTAAATTTTAATAAACAAAATAATTGTAAAGTTTTATTATTATTAATTTTTCCTTTTCATTTTTTGGATGAGAAGACATATTTTTATTTAAGTAATTTTAATAATCTTTATTTTTTATGGAGTAAAAACTTCACAAACATGCTTCTGCACAAAAATATGGATAATGTGCATTTGAGGTGTTTCATGTTTGTATTCTCATATCTCATCTGTAAATCACAGATCTTGTATGAGAAAGATCCAAGATTTTCTCAAAGTAAAGATTAATACTTAAAGATTGAGGTGAAGCAGAATTTCAGGCACAAAATGATAGTCCCATCAAAAATATTTAAAAAGCAGACTTAGTCACAGAAATAGCTAAAGTAGTTACTCATTCTGGGATCTGAGCATTTTCATTCTTTTTTAAATTTTTTTATAAATGAATAAATAAATATGTATTTTAATAAAAATTAATAATTTTAGATCAATTTTTTAAAATTTATTATTACCTAAAGTTTTATATCCTATATTAAGAATCCCATCAACAATTGAAATTAATTCTTGCTCTTCATCTGAATTTGAAATTCTTCCTTTAGGAAATTGCAATCTAAAATTTATAAAATGTAGGAAAATTATTATATTTAAAAAGCAATGAAACTTTTTAATAAAATCTGTACCTGGAAATAAAGGTTTTAGTAGCTTTGAGAATTGAAAGTTGAACTTTCCATGTACTAGTTTCAAACTCAGATAAAAACAACATACAAAGAGGTTTCCTATAAGTTTCTGAAAGAAATTTACCCAATTAGAAATTTATTATTTAAAATTTATCAATATAATATGATTTTATAATATAACTTTATGATACAATATTAAAATTTATATCATAGTAGAACCTTGTGTTTTTTTCTGTAAAGGCCAAGCTTGCCCAAGAACTTGAAATGTAACTTGTTGGAAATCCAATAAAACATCTTTATTGGTTTGTTCTTCAGAATCTTTTGGTACATTGCTTTTCCTTTGATCCTAGAATCAAACTTCTATTATGTTTTTAAATTTAATAAATTACTAAACTGAAGAAAATTTAATAATATACAGTAAAGCATCGATTATCCAAATCAATTGGGGACTGGGGTTGTTTGGAAAATTGATTTTTCGTATAACTGATTTTGTACGAAAAAATATATTAACCCATCCCATGTTGAAATTCATTCAAATCCTGGCACATCCTTAAGTACCTACTCATGGTCGTGCCAGTACTGCCAGCTAAAACATGCACACCAACAAAAATAATATTAAAATAGCCCAAGACATAGCCAAAGATTGCAGCGCCACAGCACTAGTGAAAATTTAAATTTGCCAACTTCCAGTTGGAAAATTTAAATTTAAAGCTTTTGATTAATTGACATTTCAATTGATCGATATTCAGATAATCGATGCTCTACTGTACTAAAGTATTAAAGTTTTTCTCTTATAAAATAACATTATTAAAAACTGATAAATTATTCATTTAAAGTTAATTTATTGGGCTGCAATTTTCAAATTGCAAACCTGTACATTCTCACTGCCATCTGTCTGCCCTTCATTAATCTCAAGAACTGAGTTAGATAGAAGAAAATGATATGGAAAACTTGGGGTCAGAAGGCCCTATTAACTATGTATGAACTTCCAATCTGGACCATAAGTCACATGATTTTTTAAATTAAATGATGATAAAAAATTGCAGCCTGGCATTGTGACAATGTCACAATAAATGATTGCTCATAAGTATTAAAATTAATTTGGATAAATTTTTCAAATTTTCAAATTATCACCTTTCAAATTAATAAGAAGTAAATCAAAACTATTTGAATTATTTTAAAAATAATTTCAAGTCTTCATCAACATTTTTATAATAATAATAATTACTATGACATGTAACTGGAAAATTATATAAAATAAAATCTAATCTTAATTTTATAATTCTTTATAACTTTATAAAAAAAACTTTTTTGTGAAATGTTTTATTTCACAAAAAAGTTTTTTTTTATATATATCATCAAATTCAATTTTTAAATATACCATAATTTTGTATGAGTAATTCCTTTCAAACACATATCTGTGTTTGAAAATCAATTTGAAAGTGGGTGCAAGTTATAGAATGAAGAAAGTTACATGCCAATTTTGAAATGCAATTATGAACTCATCAAACAGATTTTCCTTGTCAAAAGTCACTAAAAGCATCTTTAGAAAATGTGAAGAATCCAGCATGTGTCCAAAACATATTTATCTGCCATTGCAATTCTTTCCAAAACTACCAAATACATACTAGCATACCTTTGGTTCTGTCCTCTTAATTTTTTCTACATTCAATCTATGATATAATTGATATTATTAAACACTCTTACTTAAATTTGTATTTTAAAAGCTGTTAAATTCCTTGTAATTATTCATTATCTATAACAATGCAGAAAACACACCAATTATCATCCTAGTATGTTATATATTTATTACTCTTTTTGTCACTACAAAGTAAATTTTGATGACTAAAAATAATTATATATATTTAAAACAATGGCTATAGCTTGGCTGCAATGTTTAATGCTATTGTGTGGAAAATTAAATACAATGGAAATGTATTTTTTAATTTCATTAATAAAAATGATATCATTATATTTCTGGTTTCTCTGTTTCATTTATTAAACTCTAATTAGTATAACACAAATTTCTACATTATAAAATAACACTGTACATAACTCATTGCTATCATCAGCCACTATCTTATTATAAATTAGAAGTTCAGACTATTTACAAAAAATTATTTAATTTTTGAGTCTATCAATTATTCCTTTTCACGCACCATAGAAGCACACCTTTAACATTTTTAATGTTAAGGCGTCAGAACCTAAAATGAAAGGCTGACATCTGGTCATTTTTAAAGATGTGAATGTTTACCTATTGTTATTTGTTTTTTATGAAGTGATTTCTTCAATACCAATGTAAAAGGTGTACTTCTATGGTGCGTGAAAAGGAATAATTGATAGACTCAAAAATTAAATAATTTTTTGTAAATAGTCTGAACTTCTAATTTATAATTGGAAAAATATCTTGAGTTCATCATAAAAATTGTAGCCACTATCTTGTTGTGACAATGTTTGTTGTCATTTGCATATGATTTTTTTTATTTTGTAAAACAGAAGTGGGAAGCAAATTTACTATGTGAAAATAAACTGGATTTTGCATTCTAATTTCAGTTTCACTAGCAAATTTCTACTAAGCTTAGAGTTCTCGATGGTAAGTAAGAGCTGAGATTCAAATCTGTGTTATTGGATGTTATGAACATTAAAAAATTAAATAGAAAATTATTTCAGTTTATATAATAATAATACTGTGATAAATGTTAAAATAAATAAAACAATAGTGAAGTAATATAATAAAAAATTCTGTCATTCAGTAGGCATTTGTTTCTTAGACACAAAGTTTAGACATTAGTCATCACTCATAAAATAAGATAAAAGAAAAAAGAAAAATTACTAATATAAATCTACTAGCTGTTACCTGCAACTTTGCCCGTGCGGATTTTGCAAGCAAACCCCATTTATATTCAGTATTTCAACAACCATATTAATTGTTATATAACATCTACCGCTGAAAATGACGAGAATTGCTGAGAATCAAATGAACTGTTTTCAATTTGATCAATTTTCTGGAATGTTTACAATCGTTCTATAATCGAACCAATATGCAATAACAAATTCAAATTTAAAATGGTTTGAACATTTGGTTAAAAAATCAAAATATATAAAGATATTTATAACAATGTCTGAAATGTTATCAATTTAATACACCTCAGTACTCAATGAAGACTAAACATAGTTAAAAACAAAAAATCACATCTAAAATAGTACAGTAGAAGCCATTCTTCAGGTTAAGCCTTAATGCTCTCTCTCTCCCCTCACAGGGGAAATTTCCAAAATTCCCTTCTTAGTGTGCATTTTCATGACGTACTCTAACTGTGTACCAAATTTCACCTCTTGCTCTGGGCGATGATGAATCAATCACTCAGTCAGTCAGGACAAATAATTTTATATACAGTAGAGCGTCGATTATCCGAATGCTGATCAACCGAAATCGTTCCCGTTGGACTGTGTCGTGCTGAATCGAACGTTTTTGATAGTAGATTAACTTTTAAAGTATAATTTTTTTTGTTTTTATATTTTTCAATATATTTATTTGTTTGTACAAAATAAAGAAATAATTTTTAACGATAGAATAGCCATGATTATTATTATAAAAATTTTCGTTAGTGTGGTATTCTAGCCAGGGGTATGGAGTAGTTTATTACTCGTGTATCACTTACTCGGTGGCTAGTTGTTGAAACTAGTTCTTGGGTCGTCTACAAAAATGGCTTTTCCCAATTTAAGAAACTTGAGTGCGGAGGGACTTATAGTTAGAATAAATTTAAAGCAGAATTTGGTGATGGCGAATTCACCTTCTTCCTTATCAGGATCCTGACACCAGTTAATCAAATTTAGATACACGGATTAACATGCGTGTGAAGATAATATGGATTTGATTCAGATATTGAATAGGAGACATCTTTTAACATATAAGTAAAAGAATTTGATAAACTAGAATAAACCAAAGTATACAAAATGGATATAATTAAAGAATTCAAACGAGCGATTTAGAGAGAATATGGATGCAATTAGAATATACGCGTTGAGAGAGAGAGAGCTCACAAATTCATTTACAACAATACTACCTCAAGGTTTACTGTCTTTATTCTCATCTGTATTCTATGATCACACTTCACTTCATGGAGAGGTCTTGATTTGGCACAATATTAAAAGTTTCTTCCTTTCTCCTAAATTAACTCATTATTATACGCGATTGGATACGACTAAGGGTGTTGGCCTTATGGAGCAAGTATGGGAGACGTCTCTCTATGAGATCTTCTGACGTACTCCCTGAATCATGTAGATCTTTGATTATATCTCATGATTTGTGACCAATCAGCATATTTGTATTTTCTCACGTGACCGGAGGGAAGGGGAATTATTGAGGGGTCGACAATTCCCAGGGTGGTGAGATTTGTGATAGATAACTGGAAAACAAAAGGACGTGTCTACTTCCATTAAAGGAAGTAGCTCTTTTATCAGTTTTCCCACATTAGAAAAATGATATTTTCACACCAAAATGAAAGAATATTTTACTTCATAATTTTAGCTTTATATTTAAATTGTTAATTAGACCCAGGGGCTATTCGGATCTCACATTAGGCTTAACATCGACGAAAATTCAATGCAAAGTGATACACAATGGAGAAAAATTTAAACATGGGATATATTAATATACTATTATTGGGATATACTAATATACTATATTAATAATGTATTTTTTCATACCTAATTGGTTATCCAAAAAATTGATTTTCCAAACNTAAACTTCCCCCGTGCGGATTTTGCAAGCAAACCCCATTTATATTCAGTATTTCAACAACCATATTAATTGTTATATAACATCTACCGCTGAAAATGACGAGAATTGCTGAGAATCAAATGAACTGTTTTCAATTTGATCAATTTTCTGGAATGTTTACAATCGTTCTATAATCGAACCAATATGCAATAACAAATTCAAATTTAAAATGGTTTGAACATTTGGTTAAAAAATCAAAATATATAAAGATATTTATAACAATGTCTGAAATGTTATCAATTTAATACACCTCAGTACTCAATGAAGACTAAACATAGTTAAAAACAAAAAATCACATCTAAAATAGTACAGTAGAAGCCATTCTTCAGGTTAAGCCTTAATGCTCTCTCTCTCCCCTCACAGGGGAAATTTCCAAAATTCCCTTCTTAGTGTGCATTTTCATGACGTACTCTAACTGTGTACCAAATTTCACCTCTTGCTCTGGGCGATGATGAATCAATCACTCAGTCAGTCAGGACAAATAATTTTATATACAGTAGAGCGTCGATTATCCGAATGCTGATCAACCGAAATCGTTCCCGTTGGACTGTGTCGTGCTGAATCGAACGTTTTTGATAGTAGATTAACTTTTAAAGTATAATTTTTTTTGTTTTTATATTTTTCAATATATTTATTTGTTTGTACAAAATAAAGAAATAATTTTTAATGATAGAATAGCCATGATTATTATTATAAAAATTTTCGTTAGTGTGGTATTCTAGCCAGGGGTATGGAGTAGTTTATTACTCGTGTATCACTTACTCGGTGGCTAGTTGTTGAAACTAGTTCTTGGGTCGTCTACAAAAATGGCTTTTCCCAATTTAAGAAACTTGAGTGCGGAGGGACTTATAGTTAGAATAAATTTAAAGCAGAATTTGGTGATGGCGAATTCACCTTCTTCCTTATCAGGATCCTGACACCAGTTAATCAAATTTAGATACACGGATTAACATGCGTGTGAAGATAATATGGATTTGATTCAGATATTGAATAGGAGACATCTTTTAACATATAAGTAAAAGAATTTGATAAACTAGAATAAACCAAAGTATACAAAATGGATATAATTAAAGAATTCAAACGAGCGATTTAGAGAGAATATGGATGCAATTAGAATATACGCGTTGAGAGAGAGAGAGCTCACAAATTCATTTACAACAATACTACCTCAAGGTTTACTGTCTTTATTCTCATCTGTATTCTATGATCACACTTCACTTCATGGAGAGGTCTTGATTTGGCACAATATTAAAAGTTTCTTCCTTTCTCCTAAATTAACTCATTATTATACGCGATTGGATACGACTAAGGGTGTTGGCCTTATGGAGCAAGTATGGGAGACGTCTCTCTATGAGATCTTCTGACGTACTCCCTGAATCATGTAGATCTTTGATTATATCTCATGATTTGTGACCAATCAGCATATTTGTATTTTCTCACGTGACCGGAGGGAAGGGGAATTATTGAGGGGTCGACAATTCCCAGGGTGGTGAGATTTGTGATAGATAACTGGAAAACAAAAGGACGTGTCTACTTCCATTAAAGGAAGTAGCTCTTTTATCAGTTTTCCCACATTAGAAAAATGATATTTTCACACCAAAATGAAAGAATATTTTACTTCATAATTTTAGCTTTATATTTAAATTGTTAATTAGACCCAGGGGCTATTCGGATCTCACATTAGGCTTAACATCGACGAAAATTCAATGCAAAGTGATACACAATGGAGAAAAATTTAAACATGGGATATATTAATATACTATTATTGGGATATACTAATATACTATATTAATAATGTATTTTTTCATACCTAATTGGTTATCCAAAAAATTGATTTTCCAAACAATCCCAATCGACGCTCTACTGTATTTAGATAATGATGCATAACAGAAAAACAACATTTTAATATTTGAGAGATACCATCTAAATCTCATATCAGTAAGTGTCATACTTCCATTTCAATGGCTGCTTTGGAGGCATGGAATATATGCAAACATTTTATTTCCATTCTAGCAATTTTCTGCAAGATATATATTGTCGCAGGTGATCCATACAAAATTATGATGTTTCAAAATTTTCAAAATGCAGAATTAAAAACTTAAAACTTAGCATATTGTCTTCATTATTGTATGCAATCTTAACAATTCTATTTATTTTATATTTTCTTGCTTAATTAATACTTTAATTAATTTTTATAAAATATTAAAAATTAATTTCATTTTAAAAATATTATAAAAATATACCTTCTTAATAGTAGGCAAAAGTATATTATATAACTCAGAAAAGTAATCCATTTCATATTTCTCCAATATTTCACTTACACCTCTCATAGCTTCTGTTTTGTAAACTAAATTTTCTTTTTTACATTCTTTTAAGAGAGTTTCTGCAACCTAAAATTATACACATAAAAATAAAGCAATATCAATAATTTAACTGTATTATTAACATTTATTCAAATTTTTCAGTTCTAAAGTTAAAGAAATACATTTAAGAAAATTTTATTGAGAAGAAATAGATTATAAAAATCTCTCTTAACCAGATTTTTGTAATCTATTTATATTATAGCATAGTTGCTAGATAACTATCTAGCTTTAAAAATCAATGGTAAAATTGTTTGAAAATATCTATCATAATCATCAACTGATTGGACTCCATTATAATTAAATGCCTCTATTCAGTATTGTCTAGAATAGTGATTCCCAAAGTGGATTCTACCATCCCCAGCAGGCAGTAGAAGACTCAAACTGGAATGCTGGAAGACAAGGGGTCAGTAAGAAGAGTACAAAATTGGAAGAAAAGGAAAACAAAAAATTCCAACTAAACAATTTATTATTAATCTTCAAACAAATACATTATAAAGTCAGTTTTAAGATATACAACTTTATATTAATTAATAAAGTACTTTAAGATATTTTTAGACAATTATTTTTTCATTTAAGCTTTTATTAAAAGCTTACTTTTCAATATATCATGTTTGACTGATTTTATGGGAGGTGCTAAAGATATAAACATCTACCAAAACCTGATGCTTAGCAAATAGACACCCACGATTGCTGTAAATAATCAGGCTATAATTTAGAAATATTAATTATGAATTGCAAATAAATTTTGCACTAGAGGGAGGTGTTAGGCACCATCTCATATTAAATTTAATAATTATAATATTTAATTAATTAATTTAGAATAAACCGAAAGAAAAAAATTGGCCCGAAGCAGGACTCAAACCTGCAACTTCTGTTTACTGTGTGGATGTGTTGCAAGTTATGCTACCTGGACCTTTGGTATGATCTCCTCTTTCAGTATATATAAGCCTAATGTATAACCATTGACGGTTAATATTATGGTTAATACCCCGATTATTTACAGCAATCATGGGTATCTATTTGCTAAGCATTGGATTTCGGTAGATGTTTATATCTGTATATCTATGCCTTGCCAGGGTAAGAGATGGTTGACTGTTTCTTGAATGGATGTTTCTGGCCAAGGGCACAGGTGTATTCTTAGACAGCACCGTATTAATCATCGATGGTTATACATTAGGCTTATATATACTGGAAGAGGAAGGTCCGGGTAGCGTAACTGGCAATGCATCCACACGGTAAGCGGGAGTTACGGGTTCGAGTCTCACTTCGAACCAATTCTTTTTTTCCAGTTTATTCTAAATTAATTAATTAAATATTATAATTATTAAATTTAATACAAGATGATGCCTAACACCTCCCTCTAGTGCAAAATTTATTTGCAATTCATAATTAATATTTCTAAATTATAGCCTGATTATTTATGGCAATTGTGGGTGTCTATCTAGGTGCTAAAGAAATATATGCACTAAAAGGTGGTAGTCTGAAAACTTTAGGAAACATCAATCTAGAATATTTTTATTTATTCAATTCTTAGTTTATTGGATATAACCATGATGTGAGAATACAAAATGTTAAAATTATATAAAGAAATAATACAATTGGAAAAAACAATAATAATACTTATTCTTTTTTGGATAGCTTTCTCCATCAGTATTATTATAATTGTAACAATCATATTACAGTACAGCATCGATTATCCGACTCAATTGGGGACTGGGGTTAGTCGGATAACTGAAAAAACAGATAACCAAAAAATGTGAAAAAAAACATTATTAGTATATCTCATGTAATTAGTACATTAGTACAGTGGAATATGTCCAATTTGGAATACGTCCTGTTTGGACGAAATAAATTTTGCTTGGTATATGACTTTTGTTCGGTATATGACTTAATTCAATTATACGCGCCATCTACGAACAAGTAGCACTATTGGTATACTAGACCAGACTAGACGTTGGCAGTGCAACGGTTTATAACTTGGTTAAATTTCTTCTGGTTTTAATTTGTATATAAAATTTTATTATTTTTATGAGTCATGAATTGCAAAAAGGCAAATGAAAAGCGACAGAAAACTAAAAAAATGAGTAGAATCACAACGGAACTGAAAAAAGAGATTGTTGAGAAATATGAAGGTGGCATGTGTGTTCGAGATTTTAACTGTTTGCGTACCGTATTCCGAGAACAACGATATTGACAATCGTGAAAAATAAAGACATTATTAAATCTGCTAACATTGTGAAAGGGGTTAAATCAATTTCTAAACAGAGATCGAAGACATTAGATCATGTCGAGAAATTGCTTTTGCTTCGGATAACTGAAAAATGTGTGCTGGCGACAGCATATTGGAAGCAATTATTTGCAAGAAAGCTAAAAAGATACATGCTGATCTTGTGAAAAATCAAGCAGGAACTAGCCAGGAAAGCGAGGTGTTTAAAGCCAGCCATTTTTTTTAACGTGAGAACGGATTAATCATTTTTACATTACTTCTTATGGGAAAGGTTGGTTTGGTATACGTCCAATTCGGTATAAGTCCAAACATCAGGAACGGATTAAGGTCGTATACTGAGGTTCCACTGTATATTGCTATTAACCTACTTCACGTTGAATTTTCATTGATGTTAAGCCTAATAAAAATTTTTTAAAAATAATAATTGTTGCTATTGTATTGTTAAAAATTAGAAAATTAAGCCTCGTTTGAATACTCGCTCCCTTTCATTGTTGAGCCAGTGTTGCCAGCTAAAACACAAAAGTACTATAAAAGTAACCAAGACATAGCCAAATATTGTAGCGCCACATCACTAGCGGAGATTTGAATTTGCCGACTAGAACGGTCAGTTAACCAATGTGATGATTAATCGGGGGTCGGATAATCAATGCTCTACTGTAATAAAAAAAAACATAAGTGTTTGAAAAAGAATCTAATAAACAATATATAGATGGATTTGGAAAATGTTTTTCATGACTTGCAGAAAGCAATTTTGTGAAGAAAATTTGTTGGTTTTAGTCACAAAGAAAAAGGATGGCTTGCAACACAGTGGTTCTCAACCTTTCTGAGGTTGCGGAACACCATTCATATACTTTTTATTGCACAGAGCATTAACATCAATATATTCAAAAGTTGGTTAGCAATTCCATGTTTACTATTCTCAGGAAACAATGAAGAATGAAGCAATAAATTAATAAACTTTGATATATTGAATAAAATAGAAACATGGAATTGTCTGTGAATATAGCAATGGGAATAAATTTAAATAAAAACTTTGAAATCTTTTTTCATGGAACACTCAGGGTAGATTTGTGCAACACTGGTTAAGAACCACTGTTCTAGATTGTGGGTGTTTCTGAAACTTGATTTGAAATTATTGTTAAACTGCAACACTAGATTCTGTTTTATGATAAACAAACAGATAGAAAGACTTCTCATTAATCAACACCATTTTTGCATTGCCAGTAGTGCCATCTGCTGTTCTCTATTTTAATTTTAAGAAACATTAATAAGACATTACACTAAACATCTATGAGGTGATATGTTATTTGCTATTCTTTATATAGAAGTTTTTTGTTGGCATCATTTTGAATAACTTTATATATGTATTATTGCCTCTAAATATAATAAATTGTAGTAAGAGAGGATATAAAGATAATAATTTTTCTGTAATATGTTAACGTTTCTAAGTAGCCATAGCTTCTATTTTGATTTCCACTGTTTACTGATAAAACAATAAACATGTTTTTAGTATCTATTCCAGTATGACTTTCATCAATTTTCATAAAATAAACTTTAGCAAACTTATCTTAAAAAGTTGCTAGCTATCATTTATAACTTCATATGTTCTGCAGATGAAAATAACACCTAGTTGTTGTTGATAATGATTAACAATATTATTATTTTTACAAGATTGTATTCTGAATATTCTGAAAATTTCTTAGTCATTAACCACTCTGCAGTGATCGATGGATATACCTATCAAGGGTGATCACATGGCACTGGAGAACAACATCAATATCCGCAAAAAACTTTTAGCCAAAAATTACTGCTAAAAAAAAAAAATTCATATAAAAAGGAATTATGTGACAATAAAGATAGATTTTTTCTTTACTAGACGTAACTGTTTAAAAATTTTTTTCTGAAACAGAAACAAGAAAAACATGTGGGAAAATTGTTAAAAATTTCCCACATTTATTCTCCACTACATCATGATAGTCTGACTAACCTTCTCTACAAAGGTTAACTATGTTTCTAGAGAATTTTTATTACCATTTACATCTATTGTCTTTTTATTAAATTTTGAATATCATAAATGATGCCGTTATTTAAAGTTTATCAGAATTTATTCTGAACAAACTAAGTAAAATGAGAGATTAAAATTTAACATTAGTATTTTGTTGTGATTTTTAAAAAATCTATTAATATTTTTTGAATAAATCATCATTGATGTTAATTATATGCAAAAAGCTTTGAAATAAAGTTATAACCATTTGTGGTGTACCCAGTTGTAAAGAAAAATAAAAAAATTTAAAAAGATAATAAAATAACTAACCTCTTTCATTAACTCAGACATTTCTTTTTCTTCTATAGATTTACTGAAAGAAACATGTAAAAATATTTATAGTAATCACTTTTATTGCAAATTATATGTAATGTAGACAATAAGTACTGTACAGTATATTTTTGATTACCATGTATGGATTATCCAGTTTGTACATGCTTACATATCAATAAAAATTTGTCATAAATACAAATATTGTTAACTCTTGTTATTTAAAATGCATGTTGAGCATCAGTACTACTACTAGAATATCAACACATAAATTAAATGGCCTAATACGCACAGTAAGTGCAGTTGATCCTTGAACAATATGTATAAAGTCGGCACCCCTATAACACTGTTGATAATTCCATTTTATATGATGAATATGTTGTACGAGTCACTTAGATTTTACAAATATATGAGCCGTTCACAGCCCGGCACATGTATTTGTAAAATCTAAGTGACGCATACAACATGGAATTCATATAAAACGGAATAATCAACAGTGTTATGGGGGGTCAACTGTACTGTATTTTTTCCCTAACTAAGTTGTAAAATTGTTTGAAGGAAATATTTTGAATCATTTCCTTATCAATAAAACATTAATATCACAAAATTAATAACATTTTATAATGATATCTATCTGGTAACCTTCATTCCCAGTTAATGCAGTAAAACCTGTGTAAACTGGAATCACACTGTACTGAATATTTTTCAGGTTTGACAGGTTTTTATTTTACTCAGAGTCCATTTTGGACAGATTTTACTGTACAAGAAATTGATTGTGAAGTGTGTGGTACTAGTACAATAAATTTTTCTGTTAATTAATTATCATTGTCAAAATATATTTTATTCATAATGTGAGGCCCAGGATTTAAAAAGGCTGAGAATCGAATAATTTCTATTCGTTTCAAACCAAAACGATTTTTTTTAGTTAGGGTTAACTCAAAAAGGAAAAAACAACCGACAAATTTTCTCATAAAAATCGCTCATAAAAACTGCTTTCCCACCACAATACTTCCCTGTAGAAGATGAGTTAACTGTTGTGTCACAAGTTTGTCACTTCGCCCATCATTGGTCAAAGAAGATCATCACCTGTGACGTACATGGGGGACATCTCGAAAACAGAGCCCCATATAAAAGGCAAGTGCAATGACGACACAAGGGGGAAATTAAGTTCTTTTCTCTATACTGTGAGTGTGTGCCTGTGGATTTACCTGCATCTCGTCTCCACCGTCTTTAATAGACTTTGAACTTCGACTTCGAACTTTGGACTGATTTCAACTTTGAACTTGGAAGGACGAACCTCGGATCAACGTTATAACAACCTAATCAGAGGTATTTATCCTACACGCGATGATGTGTAAGCTCTCTCTCGAATATTCGAACCTCGCGGGTAGGGTCGCGACTATTTTATACTTTGCCGTTACTTTATGAACTATACGGATTGAACCCGAGAGGGATTTGTATTCCAATTATTAACTATGTATAAATGTACGGAATAAACGGGTATTTTGTTAACGAAC